ACTGCTTCAGCACAAGGTTTGCCGCTTCGAAAAAAGGGCAGTCGAGTATAAATCTCTTGCGTACTTACGCATGACAAATCCTTGGGGTAAATGCTGATAGCATGAGGAGTTGGCATGACAGCAACGACTCTCCGGTGATAAGTCGCCGAGATGATTGTAGGCTCCACGGAGTACCATTACAGGGGTAAAGGTGTCCATTAAGAAAGCACATTTCCGGCAATCAAATCCGCGGTTGCAGACAAAAGCGTTCTTCCACCAGGTACAGCAGGTTTCACAAACCTGTGCGCAGCTTTAAAGGCATAGGAAAGCCATGCGAGGTTAAGACCACCGGAGGCGCAGTTAAAGGCATTGATTTGGCCTGTTGGAGCACCAGAGCGATGGCCTTCTGTGCTTCTTGCACTTACTTTCCCAGACAACTGCACCTGCTACCACACCCTGTGAGTCGTTCCTAATGGCTCCCGACCGACGGGCATCATTTTCAACGAGCATCTTGACTGTATATGAGTAGGGAAGTTCTTCAGAAATTGATGTGCGGCAGCTGTATTCATGCTCGTCTGCGAGCAACAGCTGATATGCCTTAACTGCCCAGGCAAAGATGAACCAGACGTCTCTTGTTCAGATCCATCCCGTGTCTGTAGCGTCACCACGATCTTCGGGATTTGTTGTCCTCACTGAGGGACCAAGGCTCCTTCTGGTCCGCGTCGCTCGCTCGCGATGTCAGAGCATTTGAACATGAGCACCTGTTCCTCTGACTCTGTGCAATCAGAGATGATGGTCATGAAAACAAATAACAGAGTATAACTCATACTATAATCCCAAGAGTTGTTAACCGGCTGTAACTTGTTATTACGACACAGGGTTGCTGTGGATGAGGTTGACTGCAAGTTGTCAGCATGTCGTCGTAGAACGGAGCGGTGATATGCTTCCACTTTATTCTGCCGCGCGTTGCACATCAACATTGCTCATCACGATTTCAGTAAGACGAAAGGCGCATTTATACCATCAACATCATCTTTCTTCTTTGAGCGAGGATTTCTGAATTCTGGGATCAGCCGGCATCATGTCTGAACTTGGTGGCATGTCGTTCATGTCGCCGCGAGGTATGCAAAGATTGATCTGTTGCCGTTCCCCTTAAACTCGCAGATCGTGTCACTGACGTTGATGCTCGTCGTAGGTTACCAGCGAAATGGTTGTGGCTACTGCAAGCGTGATGATGGAAGTAAGAAATGCCATTATCACTCGAGTGTTGTCTCGATACAAGGTAGTATCACTGTTTCGCTTGAGTGCTGACTGCTTGAATTTGTTTTGACAGGCATCTCCTACTACGCCCATTCGGATTCATGTCGAGCGGAGGAATATGAGATCATGATGAATCACGGTTGGAGACGGTACAGTGAATATCAGCCTTTGAGAGAGCTTACTTGACTATTGTTCTGACATTCGCGGCTCAGATCTGGCAAATTATTCTACAGGCAGAACCCGAAACATTCCTGCTGTCCTTACTACACCATACGATTGAATCCAGAGGAGTACATGCCACGCAAGGATCAAAAGAAGGCATTGAATCGATGGAACAACTTCGTGCTGGGAGCGGAATACAGAAGAAGAGCAGCAAGGCTTGCCCCAGTAACCAAGGAGTATGCACTTGTCATATCCACCTCGCATCGACAGTCGCGCTGACCGTCCTAGGCACAAACGACAGAGGCGCTCGAAATTCAACGTATTCGATCGGGTCCACGAAGCTGAGTACTGTAACTTACCGCGACCAGTAGACCCATCTACAACGCCGAAACGCACCATTGAACCAGCTCACAAGTTCCAAGTCAACCTCGAATCAGACTCATTCTCTCTCAACAAGTACGATCTTTTCCTCCGCTACCAGAAAGCAGTTCACCATGAAGATGAATCGCAATGGCCGCAGTCTGCTTTCAAAAGGTTCCTGTGCTTGGGACTGAGGCCGTTCCCGATGCATAATCCATTTCAGGAGAAAACGAAACAGGAACTGGAAGACGAAAAGAAATTGAAGAAATTGGGCTCCTACCATCAATGTTACCGACTCGACGGAAAACTGATTGCCGTCGCGGTATTGGACCTTCTGCCCACCGGCCTGAGTTCAGTATACCTGTTTTACGATCCGGACTTTGAAGCTTATGAGTTTGGCAAAATCAGCGCTATGCGTGAGATTGCTTTTACGCGGGAAGCCGGATACGGTCACTACTACATGGGCTTTTACATCCATAATTGCATCAAAATGAGGTATAAAGCGAACTTCCGCCCTCAGGAGATTCTTGACCCAGAGGATTTCACATGGCACTATCTCGACGCGGAATATGTGAAGAAGTTGGACAAGAAGCGATACGTCTCTTTGTCTAGAGAGAGAAAGCTTGAGGCCGGGGAGATCGAACCTGAAGAGTGTGATAAGCCTGATTCAGAGCGAGACTTTCGACAGCTTGGTATGGAAAGGGAAGAAGAGAGATCGTTGTTTGAAATCGGATTTCCCGGTGTATTAACAAAGAGGGAAGTTCAGAAAGAGGTTGATCTGGATCATTGGCAATTAGCTGCTGAAGGCATGTTGATTGACATGTGTGATTTGAGGCCGTGGGACAAGAGCGACCTTGGAAATCCACAAAGCATCAAGGGCATTGTCGGGGAGATGGCAGCGATGCTTGGGAAGGAGGTTATGAAGAAGACGGTGGTTGTCTTGTTCTAGCTTGTTTCGCTAATAATCAGATAGATGAGAAAGCACGGCATAGCATAAGGTGTATATTCTATGATGTAACCTGCTAAAAAAAAGAAATGGTTGTATGGTCTAGTGGTTAGGACATGACGTTGTGGTTACTATCTCCGGCTCCGTCATAACCCGCGTTCGATTCGCGGTACAACCAATTTATTTTTCTCCCTTTTCCTCATCATTTCTACGTATTCATAGGAACTGTTGTTGTATTTTTTTGTAATTACTCTATGACTTGTCAATGTGATAAACCTCTTGTCAGGAGTTTACTGATCAATTTGCGGATCTCCAAGCACGTATCTAGACAGCGTGCACCACTGCTCCGTGCGAGACGCAATCATCAAGTAAGGTTTCAACCATTAAAGGCACTGAAGATGCCGTTATATTCTGTAACTTTTCATGCATGGTATATATATTTCTTGCTTTCCTCCCGCTCATTACATCGATCGCATTGCAGGACCTTTAATCAACCTCAACCGATTCAAGTCCCTGCAAAACATCCTCTCCAACACCTCCCTTCTTGACGACCATCTTCACAATCCTTGAGATAACCTCCCTCTTTACACCACCCGTCCTGGGCTTCCAAACACCATCAATGACAGCTTTCGATTCTTCCCCCTTTGCAGGCGCAGAGCCGATGCCAGACGCCATTGTACCTCCGCTTGCTGTCTCAGCTTGGTCAGGGAAAGCGGGATTTTCTGAGTTCAAGACACCGTGATTCGTCATTCTGGCAGGTGGATCAACCGTTCGGATTGATATGAGCTTAAGAGGAGCTTGTTGACCTTTGGGTGATGGCATTAATCCTGTTGCTTCTGGCACTATTGTCGATACTGAAGTATCGGAAACGACAGATATAGCGAAGACAGCATCAGCGACTGAAATCTCGTCTTGTGTTGGATCGAAGATGATATTCTCGCCGACACTGATGACGAGTAATGTGACTGGCGGCCTGAAAGGTATTATCTGCTCTGATGTTGTCTTGGTGGTGCTACGTGAAGTTGGTGCACGGGGGTAGAGCCATTCTGCTGCGTCCCAGTCGTCGTCAAACATAGGATCCTCCTCATCCTTCGATATTAGGCGCGGAAGTTTTGTACAAATAAGGGCAAGGTGAGTGGTGAGTGAGAGTAATGGTAGCGGGTATGATAGTGGTGGTGATAGTAGGAGAATCTGATTGAATTCACAATTTGTCAATGTTTGCTTGGATGACTTGGGAAAGCGAACGTGTGGCGCAACTTACATCAATATACAACCGCCAATGCCATCCATCGTTGATAACCAATCTCTCTCTTAGTGACTTAGGTGTGTCATAAGCGTCTGTCGAAATGGACAAGACACTTGACCCATGCTCGGCATTCACAATTGTCTCTCTCATCATTTCAGCGAGATATACAGGCAAAGAATCATCATCTCTAACCCCAGGGATTTCAATCGACATCTCAACCCATGAACTTTCACCATACCGCCTCCTCTTCTTTCTCTCTTTGGTAGTACTCTTTGTATCCGTCTTTTCCTGACTCTTGCTCTCCTCCTCCTCCCCCTCCTCCTGTTTCTCCTTCTGCTCTTCAGCACCCCAATCAACCAAACCTTCCTTAACCGTCTTCTCAACCTCAGCCTTAACCCCAACAATAGCCTGAGTGCCGTCGGCAAATCCTATCCTCGCGCTCCCATTTGCACCAGGCAGTATGCCCGTTTCCGCACTCAAAGCACGAAACTGCGTCGCACTGCGACCATCGGAGCGGATTGGGTTGTTTGGATAGGAGGCGAGGGAGGTATATAGATATGCCAGCTCCGCTGGAGAGAGAAGAGGTATGGAGTGTGGTGGCATTGTTGACGGTGAAGAAAGATTATGAAGGAAAGTGCGCTCCAGCCCAGATCCTAATCCCTTTGACTGACTGACGTCGCGTACAAACAAGGGTTATAAGATAAGAGAAGAAAAAGCTCTTGGTCCAAACCGTAGCTCTTATCTTCTCTTTCTGTTTCGTATCTTCTGAGTTTCGCGATGCAAAAGTGGTCGAGAGGCAATACCTTGATTAGGGATTGGACATAATTGAGTGCAGTAGATAGATAGGAATAGCTCGAATGTCAACTGCTCAAGGCGGCATCACTTGCCAAAGCTAGTCCCTTTCTTCAATATTCAAAGAAAGAGAAGAAAGGTCCAGTTGTCTGATTGTCGTCATTCGCAGCTTCAAACGAAAAGAAAAATATATCGGAACGGATTATCCAGATGACCGCGCCGTGACTGAAACAAAAAAAAACGAATTAGATTTGAAGGTCGTACTGGGACTCGAACCCAGGTTGCCGGAAGGTTTCAATGAAGAACATCAAAATCCGGAGTGCTAACCACTACACTATACAACCAACTACGTTGATCAAGCGATATTGCATCACTATCAATGGCGTCTTCTTTCAGTCAAGGCAGGTCAGGAGCATCAAATCCTGACAGATGGGAGATTTCGCGTGGAGTTGAGAGTGCATCGAAGACTCCTGGATTCTTTTTTGGGCAATAAAGAAGGCACGAGTGGACATGTTCCTCACAGCTGATTTCGAGAGTCGGTGGGGCTTGACGAGCGGATGCGTGACGTAGACAGCGCAGCCTTCTCCATCCCAGTATCTCCCGTAAAAGAAGGAGAGAAGAAGTTGACAGGCGATGACATGTCTCCAAATCATAACTAATTGTCGTCGAATGCCTGTCAGTATTCCTGCAAATTGACAGGATCGCAAAGGCGTTGATTGGCCAGTAGCACCGCCTCGATGATATCCCCGCAATTTCAAAGTAGATAAGGTATATCCACGAGCGTGGTGCATTGCTTGCTCATCAGTCAGAGACGTATTTGATGATGATATCGATACTGTTAAACTGGAGATGGCTGCTACTATGTAGTTCTCGCTCGCTGATGGAACGTTCATCTCAGGATTGTTAATTAGCGCTGTTTCCTGCTGCGGAGTCACCGGTTGCGGTCAGAAGGGTTAAAAAAAAATTATTACAAAACGGGCCAAAAAAAAAAAAGTTATTGAGCTCCGGTGTATAGAGCATACTGAGAATATACACCTATATCAACATCAACAACAACAACAACAACAACAACAAGAAATTCCATCGATATCAAGGCAATTGAATCGACTATATCTTATATACACATCTGCTATTCTATATATATCAATTCAATGAAAATGATTCCTCGATCCCTCCTCCGTCAGACACAGGCCGTTTTCTCTTCGCGAGCCACTACCGCTGCCCTCCGCTCTGCCTTCCCGCGCTTCTCTTTTTGCCAATCGCAAGCCTTGAGGAATCAGTCTCATTTGCTAAGATCATCAGTTTCTATCTCGCGGATCGTTGCTGGAAGAAGATGGGCATCTACAGAGAGCAAGGAAGGCGAGGCGACGAAGGAGGAAGAGAAGAAGCAAGAGATCAAGGAAGAGACGTTAGAAGAAAAGTTACGGAAAGAGATCGAAGAGAAGAATAAGGAGATAATTGCTTTGAAGGTGGGATAAGGATTCATCCTCTACTCTTCTTGTCCCTTCCGTTGAGAGCTTGCGAAGCTGATATTGTTTACGCTCATCAGGATAAGTACCTCCGCTCAGTCGCGGATTTTCAAAACCTCCAAGGACGCGCTGAGCGTGATATTGCTGCATCTAAGCAGTTTGGCATCCAGAAGTTCGCAGCGGATTTGTTGGATTCGATAGACAACCTCGACCGTGCTTTGAACGCTGTTCCCGCCGACAAACTGGTCCCCACTGAGGATGGTGCCAATAAGGAGCTCATTGAGTTACATTCTGGCTTGAAGATGACAGAAAGGGTCCTCTTTGCTACGCTGAAGAAGCACGGTGTTGAAAGATATGATCCCATGGAGCCAGTCGAGGGATCCGAAGGAAAAGCCCAGAAATTTGATCCTGCCCTGCATGAGGCTACTTTCCAAACTCCCATGCCTGGTAAGGAGGATGGCGATGTCATGTATACGCAGAGCAAGGGATTCATGTTGAATGGACGAGTTTTGAGGGTAAGCGAAGATAGTGAGAGTCCCCGCATCCCAAGATCAAATGCTAACGGGAAGGACATATAGGCTGCCAAGGTTGGCGTCGTCAAGAACCCTCAGTAGATGATTGAGCCAAGTCATTGGCGACCTTGACCAAACGATGTGGTAATGCATAACTGAACACTCATCAGCACAGCTTGCATCCATTCGACGGTGCAATGAACATCGATTCCACCAACCTGTACATTATCAAGTTCTCTCTTCGCCAGCTTTCAATTCGTCCGTTATGCCCCTTCATCACGCTTCACAACTTTTCTCCGTGGCACGTCTTCATGTGGATGTTCCTCTGACAATTCCCTTCATGTTCTTTCTCTCCCCTCTGGTACATGCTCATATCCCTTCTTGTTGCTGACGAATGGTATCTCTACTTTGTTTCCTTTTTGGCTTCCCGAGATTGTTCTCCTATCTGGCGTTCTTCATACACATCATCGTGTTGTCTTTCTGTCATATTATTGATATCAATTCATTTGGAAATGAGTGATGAAATGCTCGAAAGGTCCATAATGTACATACTCACTGTAACGAGTAGAGCTTTGGGTGTACTAGCCGTTGCTTGCATGCTATCTTGAAACAGCAAAATACAGCATCTCTCGTGAATTCCGATGAACATCATAATGTACAATTTGCTGCGAAGACGTTCGCTGATATCATCGTAACTCGACACCACACTTCTCAACCAACTTCCCTCTCACATCCTCATGCATCTCGTTGACTTCTTCATTCGTCAATGTCCGTTCCAGGTCGCGATAGTTGATTCTATAGCAACAGCTTTCTCTTCGTGTCTTTGGATGGATGAACTGGTCGATTAATTGAACATCCTCAACTTGGTTACCGCCGATATCACGGACAATCTCCATAATGTCGTTCTCATGGAAGCTCTGGCTATTGGCATCGGATGGAAGCCAGAATGCCACATCCTTGTAACAAATAGGTTGTTTGGAGAAGGGCTGGAATCGCGTGACCTTGCCAGCTTGAAACTGATTCAGAAACCTCTGGTCCTTCGACCAGAATAGTCGGATATCAGGGATGTTAAATAAAAGCATAGCAATACGTTCGATACCAATTCCGAACGCCCAACCGAATCTTTCTGCCACATTTGCATTTTGCAGAATCTCCTGCTTCACAACTCCACAACCCAGGACTTCGAGCCAGTCTCCCTGATAAAAGACTTCGAGTTCCCACGAGGGAGAAGTGAATGGGAAATAGGCCTCTACCCATCGAATTTGCAACGGCTCTTGACCCCTCGATGATGGGTCAACGGCAACGCGTGCGGCCTTCGCGGCAGTGAAGATCTGAATGACCATACGCTCCAACGATCTTTTCAGATGAGCGGCTATGGCCTCAACTTCCTCCTGCTTGTGGTGTTCCGCCTGCAAAGGATTCCTTTCTTCGTGGAACGCTGGATTCAGGTCTTCGACTTTGACATTGTGCTTAGGAATTGTATCGACGTCCTTCCATATCCTTGCCACTGTCTCTTCTGTCAATCCGCTGCGTTTCCATAGACGTGCTCCTTCCATTTGGTGAAAAATAGGATAATGACTGCGGTCAATGGCATCGCGACGATAGACGTCTGCGGCGACTGTATAACCCTTTTCCTCCGACATGGTAAATTCATTCTCAGCCAGGCGCTTGAAATATTTCATTTGGTGCGCCGACGTGTGCGTCCTCAACACATATTCCTTGTTAAGATAATAAGTGTCCGTTTTTGACCTTCCTGGATGATCAACTGGAAAGCCAAGATCGTCAAAATTGTCTCTGACAGACACAATTGGCTCAGGCTCGACATAATGTCCGTACTCTGGGGAAGGAAATTGTGACTCGATGAGAGCCCGGGTTATAGCGAGTGGGTGATCTCGTTGCAAGTACAGTTGTCGACCGATATGGTTGAAGATGTTGTCGGGCACATTCGTTAAAGCATCTGAGGGAAATATCCCTGCTGAGGATGTGATGGTGTTTCCGGCCCGTTTAGCATGGGGGACATATCCAAAATCCCTTCTCTCTCCATATGGCTGTGAAGTTGCTGCAACTGCTGAAACTGAAGAGTGATACCGCCTTGACATCAAACTACCACAATTGAAGACGCATAATGTCCTCGGTGTTTGTATCGTATATCTAGTAGCAAATGTGATCGAAGACGTTGCGTTTCCCTTTGCGCACGCAGGACTAAGGATTGATGTCCGTGGCACTGAAGAAGACGACACCGCGCGTAGAGCCCAGCCTGTATCTAACGAACGCATGGTCAATCGCAAAAGAATGATCGGTCTCCCCGTAATGAAGAACAAGAAATGCCATAAACATTCGATGCAGGAATCGCAACCGTCGCCATCATCGAAACGAAGGTTGAGGTGAGGTCATCTGCGTCTCCGCGGAGGAGGTTCACCCGGCTATGATACCAGTAGAGTAGTAGTAAGAGTAATACGTAGCATTCGTAGACATCTTTCGTGCTGTTTACATGCTGTCTGTCGTGAAAGAAGAGTTTGATAACTTATGAATCTTTTCAATAAAGGCGAAATTGAGTATGATGTGTATATGTTATAAGGAAACAACCAGATATACAAATGCATTGTGTGATCCCATAAGTTTGTTCGTCATGAGTAGATGGAATATGGGCTATGGCAGAACCCTCCACAATCTGCCAATAACCGCAAGCGATGAATTGTACAGCGAATGATACCATCGTTCCATGTAGACTGTGAAAGATCCCGCTTCAGATTGAGGTGAGAAAGAGATCATTAGGCCGATTATTTTGGTACGATCTTCTAGCGACTGAGCCCTTAGACATGATTGACTACCGGGAGGAACCTGTGAGTGTCGTCACCCCTGATATCTTCTCCTGCATTGATTGTCCAGTCGTTCGCTCCCCTTGAGTGCTCGAGCAACCAATGAGATATCCTAACAACCTTCTCTTTCCCATAGGATGGTGTGAGAAGTGCCGTGCCGGCGGTCGAAGATGAGTTGAGGCGTGAGGCGGTAACCATTGACATATGGATCAGAGGTTAATATCCACCGGAGCCGATTGGGAGCTTTCACAGCTTAAAAACGTATCGAAAATCTGCTCGCGATTCTCAATCATCACTGACACTGTTCTTGCAGGTGTAATGACATCGATGTGATACAAACTGTATCCCGTGCTCTTGCCCTGAATCTCCGTCATCTCCTGGCATCAAGCTAGGGAAATTGGCTTCGAGGAGTAACCCGCGAACTTCAGCGGAATAAGAGACCTTCATAAGCTATGGCTGATGGACCACATAGCAAGTTAGAGGCCGTGCCACAAATTTACCGGTTCTCAAGTTTTGGAACTCAAATGCCAACGTCACCCGTTGT